TTTTTTTTTTTTTTTTTTTTTTTTTTTTTTTTTTTTGAGTCAGAGTCTCACTCTGTCACCTAGGCTGGAGTGCAGTGGCATGCTCATGGCCCCACCACAGCCTCGACCTGCTGGGCTCAGGCGATCCTTCCACCTTAGCTGGAACTACAGGTACGCACCACTATGCCCGGCTAATTTTTTGATTTACTGTGGAGACAAGGTCTTGCCAAGTTGCCCAGGCTGGTCTCAAACCCCTGGGCTCAGGCAGTCCTCTTGCCTGGGCTTCCCAGAGTGCTGGGGTTACAGGCATGAGCCACTGTGCCCGGCTATTATGTACATCTTTATTGTATCTTCTTCATAAGAAGACTACTTTAAGTGACTTCAGGTAATATTATCTAGTCTCTTCCTTCCAGTTTACAGAGTGCTGCCAAATACAGGATGGCTTTTGATCCTTGCAATACCTCAGTAGGCAGGGTAGTTACTACTTTTTTACAGATAATGAACCAAACTCAGGCCAAATCAGGTTATAGTTGGGTCTGGAATTCTAGAGACTTTTTGATGATGTTGTGAATGAGATGGTTTTCGTTTTACTAGACACTCAGTGCTACACAGCACTATGGCATCTTGCCTTTATTAGTACTTTAACCAAAGCCTGTTCTTTCTTTCTTTTTTTTTTTTTTGAGTTGGAATCTCACTCTGTCACCCAGATTGGAGTGCAGTGGCCGCTCCCGGCCACCGCAACCTCAACCTGCTGGGCTCCGGCGATCCTTCCGCCTCAGCCTTCCAAGGAGCCAGAATTACAGGCATGCGCTACCACGCCTGGCTGATTTTTTGATTTATTGTGGAGATGAGGTCTCGCTGCCCAGGCGGGTCTCGAACCCGCGGGCTCAGGCAATCCACTCACCTCAGCCTCCCAAAGGCGCAGGATTACAGGCTGAGCCACCGAGCCCGGCTGGGCTCCTTCTTTTGTTGGTGAAGTGATTCCTTCGGGACTTAGAGCTAGGATAGGAACCCTGGTCTCCTGAACCTCTTCCTCTTCCCGGATAGATTGTAAAGACTGTGAGGGTGTTTATCCTTTTTCTTTTTTTTTTTTTTTGAAGGGCAGTGGCACGCCAGGCTGAAGGGCAGTGGCACACCCCCGGCCACCACATCCTTGACCTGCTGGGCTCAGGTGATCTTTTAACCTCAGCCTTCCAAGTAGCTGGAACCACAGGCATACGCCACCACAACCAGGTAGTTTTTTGATTTATTGTAGAGATGAGGTCTCGCCAAGTTGCCCAGGCTGGTCTCGAAGCCGTGGGCTCAGGCAATCCTCTCACCTCAGCCTCCCAAAGTTCTGAAATTTTTATAGGTGTGAACCTGGCCTATCTCTTTTTCTAATTCCTGGCCTAGGGCCTGGCACAGAGTAGATGCTCAGTGCATTTTTGTTGAGTGAGTGAATAATCACCAATGCTCTGCTTGGTGTGTTGGTGTATTGAACCTACTGAGGTTGGCATATGAAGGAAAACCAGATGAGTCCTCTGTCTGCTGGTACAGCCACGCTGCTTTGATGATTATTTGAGCCTTGGACATTACAACATACAGGTTCCAGGATCAAACAGCTTACCCGTCCTGCTTTGACCTGGCTTGAGAAGCCAGGAATCTTGTGTAATGCCTACTTATCTTCTAGTTTCACTTCCCTTAATTTTTCTTCATTGTTTTTCTTTGGTAAGTTCTTTGGGGTGACTGTCAAGATGGACTCAACCCTAACAGCAAGTGAAATCCGGCAGCGATTTATAGATTTCTTCAAGAGAAATGAGCACACCTATGTCCACTCATCTGCCACCATCCCACTGGATGATCCCACTTTGCTTTTTGCCAATGCAGGCATGAACCAGGTAAGGGTTTTTCCCTTTCCTCTTGGCTGTTTGCATAGAAGGCAGCAGAGCAGTGATAAAGGCACAATCCCTGGAGTCAGACAGAATCTTCATTCCATCACTTATTACTTAATCATGTGTGACTGTCTTTATATCATGAACCTCAGTTTCTTTGTCTGTGAAATGAAGAATAATACTATTGCTTGCCTGTAGGTTGCAGAGAAGAGTGAATAAGGTAGTACATACAAAATGTTTAGTATGGTATTTGGCAAATAGTAGGCACTCAAACATTAGCTATTATTATTAGTATTATTTTTTAGAGATGTGGTCTCACTCTGTTATCCACACAGGAGTGCAGTGGCATACTCACAACTCATCGCAACCTCCAACTCCTAGGTTCAAGTGATCTTCCTGCATCAGCCTCCCAAAGAGTATCTGGGACTACGGGATACTACAGGATGCCATCACACCTGGCTGTTTTTGACTTTTTGGTAGAGATGAGGTATCCCTGTATTGCCTAGGCTTGTCTTGAACTCCTGGGTTCAAGTAATCTTCCCACCTCAGCCTCCCAAAGTGCTGGGATTACAGATGTAAGCCAATGTGCCCAGCCTTGACCAGCTCTTTTTAATTATTATGATGAGAAACTCTAATACCCATGGATAAGACTTGTATTTCTCTCAAGAAAAATATAGCTTGCCGTCTAGTCTATAAAGTTTCACGTTTTTCTTCTCCTGAGGAAAAAGCTATGTTTTATTAGAATCAGGCTGGAGTCATCTTGCTCAGCCCTGAAAAGATTTATTAACTCATCTATCATGATTCTCTTTCATATTTTCATCGTCCTTGTTTTTTCTTTTTTTGAGTTGGAGTCTCACTTTGTCACCCAGGCTGGAGGGCAGTGGCATGCTCCCAGCCACCGTAGCCTTGACCTCCTGGGCTCAGGCGATCCTTTTCTACCAGCCTTCCAAGTAGCTGGAACTACAGGCACGTTCCACCATGCCCAGCTAATTTTTTGATTTATTGTAGAGATGAAGTCTCGCCAATTTGCCCAGGCTGGTCTCGAACCGCGGGCTCAGGCAATCCTCTTATCTCAGCTTCCCAAAGTGCTGGGATTACAGGCATGAGCCACCACACCTGGCCCTTTTTTTTGTTGTTGAGTCAGTCTCACTCTGTCACGCAGGCTGAAGTGCAGTGGCACACTCATGGCCACTGCAGCTTCAACCTGCTGGACTCAGGTGATCCTTCCTCTTCAGCCTTCCAAATAGCTGAAACTACAAGTATGCACCACCATGCCCAGGTAACTTTTTGATTTATTGTAGAGATGGCGTCTTACCAAATTGCCCAGGCTGGTCTCGAATCTATGGGCTAAGGCAATCTTCTTGCCTCAGCCTCCCAAAGTGCTGGGATTACAGGGGTGAGCCACTGTGTCTGGCTTGTTTTTTTCTTTATAAAATAAGTTGGTTCTTCTGGATTCTTTCAGAGCTTTTCTTTCAGGGCTTTGCTTTCCTTCCCTTTCTAGGCCATGCACAGTTTTTCTTTTTACCCTTTTGAAGCTATTGCCACCAGTGCCAATCTAGATCTGTTGCTGAAGAAATTATTACTTAGTTGGCTTTATGTTTGGGGCAGTTGAATTACAAAAGATATTTGCACGTTTTATTGTTAGAGAAAAGGGTTTTCTCTTGAAATAGTGGAATAATGAAAGTAACACAAGTTTATAGGAGAGTTTCTTTTATTTATTTATTTATTTATTTATTTATTATTTTTTGAGTTGGAGTCTCACTCTGTCACCCAGACTAGAGTGCAGTGGCCACTCCCGGCCACCACAGCCTCGACCTACTGGGCTCCAGCGATTCTTCTGCCTCAGCCTTCCGAGTAGCCAGAACTACAGGCGCGCGCTACCACGCCCGGCTGATTTTTGATTTATTGTAGAGATGAGGTCTCGCCAAGTTGCCCAGGCAGGTCTCGAACCCGCAGGCTCAGGCCATCCACTCATCTCAGCCTCCCAACGGTGTGGGATTACAGGCTGAGCCACTGATCCCGGCTATTTATTTATTTTTTAAGTTTGAGTCTCACTCTGGCATTCAGACTGGAGTGCAGTGGCATGCTCATGGCCACTGTAGCCTTGACCTGCTGGGCTCAGGTGATCCTTCCGCTTCAGCCTTCCAAGTAGCTGGAAATACAGGCATGTGCCACCATTCCTGGCTAGTTTTTTTATTTATTGTAGAGATAAGGTCTTGTCAGGTTGTACAGACTGGTCTTGAACCCATGGGCTCAGGCAATCCTCTCACCTCGGTCTTCCAAAGTGCTGGGATTATAGGCATGAGCCACCGCACCTGGCCTATAGGAGAGTTTAAAAGGTGGTTTTCAGTATGTCTAAGTTGAGAAATACTGACCAGGCTGATTTTGGCTTGCAAATGGATTCAGGTAGATGGTGTGCTCAGGGCTCTCCTAGGATGGTTCTCTGCAGCCCTGTCTAGTCCAGTAGATCTGCCAGCCCATAGGACATGCCTCACTCTGGGATGAGCTGACTTTTTTTTTCTTTTCCAGTGTCTTTTTTGGCAGGAAAAGTTAGAAACAATGGGAATAATTTCTACTTTGTATAACATCAACTATCAAATTATGAAAAATTTTTCAGTTATGTGTGAGTCCTTGCATACACCCAAAATTTGGGACACTAATTTTAGGTGGACTCTTTCAAGGATTTTCTGGAACACTGGAAAAGTTCTACTGAGACATATCTGAGCATACACTTTGTCTTCTCCCACATGAGCTGCCACTGTAAGAACCAGGGCATCCGGTGTTTGTAAACATTTTCTTTTTTTTTTTTTTTTTTTTTAGTTGGAGTCTCACTCTGTCGCCCAGACTGGAGTGCAGTGGCCGCTTCTGGCCACCGCAGCCTCGACCTGCTGGGCTCCCGCGATCCTTCCGCCTCAGCCTTCCAAGTAGCCAGAATTACAGGCATGTGCTACCACGCCCGGCTGATTTTTTGATTTTTTGTAGAGATGAGGTCTTGCTGCCCAGGCGGGTCTCGAACCCGCGGGCTCAGGCAATCCACTCACCTCAGCCTCCCAAAGACGCGGGATTACAGGCTGAGCCACCGAGCCCGGCTGTAAACATTTTCTTAATGCCAGTAACAATTGGCCTGCATGTAATACTTACTATTCCAGGCTACTCTGTGTCTGTCAAATATATTAACTCACTTAAAACCTCATTCTGAGCTGGGCTTGGTGGCTCAGCCTGTAATCCCGCACCTTTGGGAGGCTGAGATGAGTGGATTGCCTGAGCCCACAGGTTCGAGACCCGCCTGGGCAACTTGGCGAGACCTCATCTCTACAATAAATCAAAAATCAGCTGGGCCTGGTAGTGTGCACCTGTAATTCTGGCTACTCGGCAGGCTGGGGTGGAAGGATCACCGGAGCCCAGTGGGTCGAGGCTGCGGTGGCTGGGAGTGGCCACTGCACTCCAATCTGGGTGACGGAGTGAAACTCCAACTCAAAAAAAAAAAAACCTAATTCTGTGACCCTCCCTACTGAGGCACTGAGAGCTCAAGTCTTTGAGCAATGTTGCCTTTGCTCATAAAGCTGGTAAGTGTTGGAGTATAGACTTGAACCCAGGCAGTCATTTCTTTTTTTTTCTTTTTTTTTTTTGAGACAGTGTCTTGCTCTTTCACCCAGGCTGGAGTGCCGTGGCACAATCACAGCTCACTGTAGCTTCAATCTCCTGGGCTCAAGCAGTCCTTCCATCTCAGCCTCCCAAGTAACTAGGACTACAAGCATGTACCATCACACCTGTTTTGTTTTGAGTCAGATTCTTATTTTATTGCCCAGGCTGAAGTACAGTGGCATGATCATGGCTTCCACAACCTCAACTTGCTGGGCTCAGGCAATCCTTCTGCCTCGGCCTCCCAAGTAGCTGGGACTACAGATGCATACCACCATTCCCAGCTAATTGTTTTAAATTTATTGTAGAGAAGAGGGCTTGCCAAGTTGCCCAGGCTGGTCTTGAATCCCTGGACTCAGGTAATCCTCTCGCCTTCACCACCTAAAGTGCTGGGATTGCAGGCATGAGCCACCTCATCTGGCCACCTGAATAATTAAAAAAAAAGTTTTTCTGTAGAGACAGGGTCTTGCTATGTTTCCCAGCCTGGTTTTGAACTCCTGGACTCAACTGATCCTTCCTCAGCCTCTCAAAGCACTAGAATTACAGGCATGAGTCAGCTTGCCTGATTTCATTTCCTTATTTTTTATGCTGTGTTGCCTCTTGATCAGCAATACCTTGCCTTTAAAAAAAAAAAAAAGAAAAATTTTAAATGGTATTTATTAGGCACCTGCTCTTTTTTAGGTAGTATGCTAGGTGCTGGAAATACAGAGATAATTGAGATAGTTTTGCTTTTAAGGAGTTCATGATCTAGCACAAGACTGTCCAGTAGAACTTTTTGTAATGATGGAAATGTTTATATCTTTTTTGCACAATATGGTAGCCACCAGTCACATGTAATTAGTGTGTCCGAGGAACAGAATTTTTTTTTTGGTGTATTTTTTAGAAATTATTTTAAAAAGTGGGGTACAAATGAGGTTTAGGTACATGGTCATCATACAGGTAAAGTGTGGGTACCCTTATTGATGTTGTATGCCCCCTGCCGGCAGTGTCCCACTACTGCCAATTCCTTTGGTAAGGTATTATGATAAATGTTTAAGGTCCACTTATGAGTGAGTATATGTGGTACTCAGATCTCTGTTTCTGTGATAGATCACTGAGTATTATAAACTCTAATTCCATCCAGGTGCTGCAAAGTTCATAATTTTGTTTTTCTTTATGACTGCATAATAGAATTTTTTTTTGAGTCGGGGTCTTATTCTGTCACCAGACTGGAGTGCAGTGGTATGATCACGGCTCGCTGCAGACTTGACCTCCTGGGTTCAGGCTCCTGAGTTGTTGGGACTACAGGCACATACCACCATGCTTGGCTAATTTTTTTTTTTTTTGTAGAGATAAGGTCTTGTTACATGCCTATGCTTGTCATGAACTCATGGCCTCAAGCAATTGGCCTCCCAAAGTGCTAGAATTGGGGCATGGAACCAGCCCAGAATTTTTAATTTTTTAAAATATTAATTACTGGCTGAGGTGAGTGGATTGCCTGAGCCCCTGGGTTCGAGACCCGCCTGGGCAGGCAAGACCTCATCTCTACAGTAAATCAAAAAATTAACTGGGCGTGGTAGCACGTGCCTGTAATTCCGGCTACTCGGAAGGCTGAGGCCGAAGGATCGCTGGAGCCCAGCAGGTCGAGGCTGCGGTGGCCGGGAGCGGCCACTGCACTCCAGTCTGGGCAACAGAGTGAGACTCCAACTCAAAAAAATAAATAAATTTTAAAAATATTAATTACTAGTTATGTAACTTTAATTTTAAGTAATTTAATTTTACGTGGTCACACGTGTCTAGTGGTTACCAAATTGGACGGCACTGAATTGAACAGGTCCAGTGGAAAAAATAAGGCCAAGTCACACAAATAACAATGACCTATCAAAGTATGACTTGATAAATCCTCAGGGCCAGGTCATACTATCTCCCAGTACATCCAGTCATTCATCAGTGTGCTGTTATTCCCTTAATATGTCTCATTTTTTCTTCATTATCACCTTTACTACTAAACAAGCATACCAATTTTTAGAATAAGTTCTTTCAGAAACATGATAGAAGTTCTCAACGTTGGAGACTTGTGAAAAAACACAGGTTTCACCACATGAACCATTTTAGCTCAGTTCTGGCTGGCCCTTCCTCTTTGCAGTGGTGGAGATTACTAGGGAACTAGATGCAAGGAGAGGCTACTTCAGATAGGCTACCTCTGCTTTGGCTCCATTAGGCCAACTGCTTCTGACACATGTCTATATTCCAGGCTTGTTAGATCACAAACTACCCTGAATTGTACATCACATCTTTAAAATAGAAAATTTTTTTAAAAAGATTACAAACTATCCAGTTTGTTTGTGGTGTCTTCCTGTCAGTGTGTGGCTGCCTAGCATGACCAGCAGCTCTTTAAAAGTTGAACTAGGCCAGATGCAAATCTCAATACTTTGGGAGGCTGAGGTGGGAGGATCGCTTGAGTCCAGGAGTTCAAGACTAGCCTGGACAACATAGCAAGATCCTGTCTCTTAAAAAATTTTTAAAAAAATTAAACATTCCCCTTCTTCTTTTAGTTCAAACCCATCTTCCTGAACACTATTGACCCATCTCACCCTATGGCAAAGCTGAGCAGAGCTGCAAATACCCAAAAGTGCATCCGGGCAGGAGGCAAACACAATGACTTGGACGATGTGGGCAAGGATGTCTATCATCACACTTTCTTTGAGATGTTGGGCTCTTGGTCTTTTGGAGATTACTTCAAGGTAAGCTTGAAGCCAGAGAACTGCTGGGGTTTTCAGTTGAGGGAAATGAGTTATAATTTTGCTTTTTTAAAAATATGCACCATCATCTAGAAGATTTAGAGGTGATGGGCATTTACTAATTCTAAGACTTCCTGGAAGTAATACCTGTAATTTGATGATTTCAGTTTATATTTGGGTTTCTTTTTTTTTTTTTTTGAATTGGAGTCTCACTCTGTCGCCCAGACTGGAGTGCAGTGGCCGCTCCCGGCCACCGCAGCCTCGACCTGCTGGGCTCCGGCGATCCTTCCACCTCAGCCTTCCAAGTAACTGGAACCACAGGCGCACGCTACCACGCCTGGCTAATTTTTTTTTTTTTATTTATTGTAGAGATGAGGTCTCGCCAAGTTGCCCAGGCGAGTCTCGAACCCACGAGCTCAGGCAATCCAGTCACCTCGGCCTCCCAAAGCGCTGGTATTACAGGCTGAGCCACCGAGCCCGGCTGATATTGTAGTTTTTTATTTATTTTCCTAGGATCTGGTCTTTTCCTAATCATACTAAATAAATAGATTTTGGTTTTGTCGTATTTCATATCTTTCTTTTTGTTCTTTTTGTAGGAATTGGCATGCAAGATGGCTCTGGAACTTCTCACCCAGGAGTTTGGCATTCCAGTTGAAAGACTTTATGTTACTTACTTTGGTGGGGATGAGGCAGCTGGCTTAGAACCAGACCTGGAATGCAAACAGATCTGGCAAAATTTGGGGTAAGAATGCAACTCAACTGGTTGCTTTTTACATATTTTTAAAAATTGTGTATATGAGGCATATGTTGTAAAAATTCAAACTGTATAGAAATGTGGAAAACAGGAAGTGGGCCAGGCATGGTGGCTCATGCCTATAATCTCAGCACTTTTGGAGGTGGAGGCAAGAGGATTGCCTGAGGCCAAGGATTTGAGACCAGCCTGGGCAACATGGCAAGACCTAGTCTCTACAATAAATAAAATAATTAGCCAGGCGTGGTGATGCACACCTATGGTTACAACTGCTTGGAAGGCTGAGGCAGAAGGATTACCTAAGCCCAGCAAAGGGAGGCTATGGTAGCTGTGAACATGCCATTGCACTCCAGCCTGGGTAACAGAGTGAGACTGCTATACAAAAAGAAAAAAAGAAAAGAAAAGAAAGAAAATAGGAAGTGAATGTCCTTAAGATTAACCATTGGCCGGGCTCGGTGGCTCAGCCTGTAATCCCGCGCCTTTGGGAGGCTGAGGTGAGTGGATTGCCTGAGCCCGTAGGTTCGAGACCCGCCTGAGCAGCGAGACCTCGTCTCTACAATAAATCAAAAAATCAGCCGGGCGTGGTAGCGCATGCCTGTAATTCCAGCTACTTGGAAGGCTGAGGCGGAAGGTTCGCCGGAGCCCAGCAGGTCGAGGCTACGGTGGCCAGGAGTGGCCACTGCACTCCGGTCTGGGCGACAGAGTGAGACTCCAACTCAAAAAAAAAAAAAAAAAGATTAACCATTAATAGTTTGACACCCCGTGTATAATCTTCCAGGCATTGTTCATATTTCTGTAACCTTGTATGTATGTGTCTTTGTCACCAGAGTGGTAGTCTTCTCTTCATATGAAACAGTTTATTTCTTATGGAAATGTAATGGCATCAAACAGGACTAGAAAAAGGAAGTTTTTTTTTTAAGCATAATATAATTCTAAAGTATAATCACATAATATGAAAGCTAACACAATAGATGAGCTATATGTGTTCTGTGCTTTGAACTTAATAGAATTTGGGAAGTGCTGCACCAAGGGGAATCTGAATGTGGGGATGGTATACTCTCTATAGATAGCTGGGCTGCCCATGATGTCCTTGTCTCATTTTCTTGTTCTTATTGCTTAACTCTCTTGTCCTTTAGTGCATAGCCTTCTTACTGTACTTGGAAGTGGGGTGACTTCTCCATGTTGTTTTCTTGTTTCCTTATTTTATTCCAATCCCGCTATCCCTTTTACTTGGTTTAAAATTCCTACTTGACTAGACTGTATAGTCTGAATGTACTTGGACACTTTGGGTAGTCACACTTATAAAAGTTAAATATTAACCTTGACCTTGACTTTTTTTTTTTTTGGAGTTGTAGTCTCACTGTGTTGCCCAGACTGGAGTGCAGTGGCACAATCATGGTTCTCAGCAGCCTTGACCTGGTTGGGCTCAGGTGATCCTTCCAAGTAGCTGAGACTACAGATGCAAGCCACTACAACTAACTTACTTTTTTTATTTATTGTACAGACGAAGTCTCACCATGTTGCCCAGTCTAGTCTCAAACTCCTGGGATCAGGCAATCCTCTTACCGTGGCTTTATGCTGGGATTACAGGAATGAGCCACTGCACTTGGACTTTTTTTTTTTTTGAGTTGGAGTCTCACTCTGTCACCCAGACTGGAGTGCAGTGGCCGCTCCCGGCCACTGCAGCCTCTACTTACTGGGCTCTGGCGATCCTTCCACCTCAGCCTTCCAAGTAGTTGGAACTACAGACGCGCGCTACCATGCCTGGCTAATTTTTAATTTTTATTGTAGAGATGAGGTCTCGCCAAGTTGCCTATGCAGGTCTCGAATCCACAGGCTCAGGCAATCCACTCACCTCAGCCTCCCAAAGCGCTGGGATTACAGGCTGAGCCACCGAGCCCGGCCTGCACTTGGACTTGACCTTGCCTTTTTAAATTCTGTTTTATTTGGCTTCATGTACTGTATAGCTGCACTTTTTTAGTATTCTGTTATTTAGCAACTTTCTTTGGAAATGCTTAAATCTTATTAAACTCTCTTTGGTATCATTTTAAGGTAAAAGATGACTAAATTAGGGTATAGAGAAGTGATTTTAATCAGTAACTTTTTGAACACTTATACCGTCTTACCATATAGTCATTTTGAAAAATGAAGAAACATTTGCAAAGAAAATAGTTGCTAAATTCTGGCCATATTCAGCATAAACATTTTCATTTTCATGTGTTCCTTTCTAGGCTTGATCCATATCTTTGCATATTTTTATTGAGTTATGATCATAACATATGTGTATTTTGTATTCTGTTGTAGTCACTCTTAAAGGAGTCACATTCTGCTTCCTTTGCAGGCTTTGTGTATAGGCTTAGCAGTAGTAACTGCCAAAGGGTGGACCTTCTTTACCAGAAGTCATAAGTATTTCTTTTGTGGTGGATGCAAGTCTGGGCAGAATCTTTGTCAGTGGCAATAACTGGACTTATCTCCTCTGCTCTATACAGCCTGGATGACACCAAAATCCTCCCTGGCAACATGAAGGATAACTTCTGGGAGATGGGTGACACAGGCCCATGCGGACCCTGCAGTGAGATCCACTATGACCGGATTGGGGGCCGAGATGCTGCACACCTCGTCAACCAGGACGACCCCAATGTGCTGGAGATCTGGAACCTTGTATTCATCCAGTATAACAGGTGGCCTTGGCATCCTGCTCCATTCCTGCCAAGTGCAGTACTTGTGCTTGAGCTGAGCAGAGAAAGAGGAACTTGGCTTGCATGGCTGTCTTCTTGGCTAAAGGCTCTTTCCTAATCCTCTAGAGCTGAAGCAGACTCTGGAGGCATCATGGAATCTTGCTGGCAAATTCTTTAACTTTTATTTCTTAAGTTACCCCTCTGATCTCTTGGACAGGTCTGGCCCAATCTTTTATGAACTAGTCTTATCCCACATAATACCTTCTTGAGGGCTATTCTCATAATGTCATTCTTACTATAATTTGGGCTCTGTTTTTTTTGTATGTTTGTTTGTTTTTGAGTTGGAGTCTCACTCTGTTGCCCAGGCTGGAGTGCAGTGGCACACTGCTCACGGCCACAGCAGCCTCAACCTGCTGGGCTCAGGCGATTCTTCAGGCTCAGGCGATTCTTCAGGCTCAGGCAATTCTTCTGCCTCAGCCTTCTAAATAGCTGGAACTGCAGGCGTGGGCCACCATGCCCAGCTAATTTTTTTGTTTATTGTAGAGATGAGGTCCCGCCATGTTGCTCAGGCTGGTCTGGAACCTATGAGCTCAGGAAATCCTCTCGCCTCCACCTCCCAAAGTGCTGGTATTATAGGCGTGAGCCACCACGCCTGGCCTTGGGCTCTATTTTAAAGCTCATTCCTTGAAGCTTGTCTCTTAAATGGACCCCCAAGTACTTTCCCTTCCTTTCTCCCTCTACTTCCCTCTTCCCATGAAACCAGGCAGAGGCAAATAATCACAGCCTGCAACCTGTGCTATGAGCTTTAACTAGCAGGAACTGGATTGGTGGCAGCCTGAGTCCTTGCTTTAACTTCCTTTTCCTCTGGATCATGCAGGGAAACTGATGGTGTTCTGAAACCTCTCCCCAAGAAAAGCATTGACACAGGGATGGGCCTGGAGCGACTGGTGTCTGTGCTGCAGAATAAGATGTCCAACTATGACACTGACCTTTTTGTTCCTTACTTTGAAGCCATTCAGAAGGTATTGGTCCTGTTGCAAACATTGCAAATTTCTATGGAGGTTTCCAAGCTGGACTCTTAGCAGTGCTGTCAAAGATAAAGTGACCATTTACTTTGCCAGCCAGGGTTACCCGCTGACACCTGCCTGCTTCATTGTTAATAATACGAGGCTTTAGGCACAGGCAGTATAATTTGTTGAGTGTAGGGGACTGGCTGGAGTCTCTGCTTCCCCACTGTCACTGTTCTTGGGGTTATAGGATCTGGCAAGATGAACATCCTTTCTCCTAATGCTCCTCATTCTCAGGGAAGGCAGCACCAGAAGGACAGCTTTCTTTTTTTTTCTTTTGAGTTGGAGTCTCACTCTGTCACCCAGACTGGAGTGCAGTGGCTGCTCCCGGCCACCACAGCCTCGACCTGCTGGGCTCCCGTGATCCTTCCGCTTCAGCCTTCCAAGTAGCTGGAACTACAGGCGTGCGCTACCGTGCCCGGCTCATTTTTGATTTATTGTAGAGATGAGGTCTCACCAAGTTGCCCAGGCGGGTCATGAACCCACGGGCTCAGGCAATCCACTCACCTCAGCCTCCCAAAGGCGCAGGATTATAGTCTGAGCCACCGAGCCCGACTAGAAGGACAGCTTTCTAATGGACTGCCTCCTGGTTCTTACTCTTACCTGTAGGGCACAGGTGCCCGGCCATACACTGGAAAAGTTGGTGCTGATGATGCTGATGGGATTGACATGGCCTACCGGGTGCTGGCTGACCATGCCCGGACCATCACTGTGGCTCTGGCTGATGGCGGCCGGCCTGACAACACAGGGCGGGGGTATGTATGCTGTACACTGGGCGGCGTTTGGACTGATACCATGTGTTTTATGACTCTATAGAACTTAAAGCCATACTTTATTATAACTTCCTTTGTCTTCTGGGTAGTTGGAAGGATTCCCTCCTTTTTGTTGAAGGGAGTTTCAGCTCATGTTAAAGAGTTGTTATATATTAAATCGTTGCTTTAAAGTACAAGATGACAAAGTTATCTGATAGGATACAGGTCCAACAGGCACAGGGTAGAAGTGAGTGACGACTAGCCCCAGGAAGCTCCATTACTGACAGGAAGGACCTGGGGTCTTAACATCAAGTACACATCTGGTCTATACTCCTTGCCTCTCTGGGTAGCTGGACATGGAAGAAGAACAAGCCAGGGTTTACTCTAGGTATTTTTTAGTATGTTACTGAGTTTTATGCTGGAATGAAAAAAGAAGCAGGCTTAGGATAAAAGAAAGTCTCCAAAAGAGCAAGACGGAAGTTGGTCATGTTGCTTTGGGCAGAGTCCAAAGGATTCACTACAAAACCCTCAGCTGGGAGTGTTGTCTAGCAGGGGACTAGTTTCTACTTCTTACAGGTATGTGTTAAGACGGATTCTCCGCAGAGCTGTTCGATACTCCCATGAGAAGCTCAATGCCAGCAGGGGATTCTTTGCTACATTAGTAGATGTCGTCGTCCAGTCCCTGGTAGGTGTGCATCCCTGCTTCCCTCCTTTGTGCTGAAGCAGTACATTAAGAGGGATAGGGTGAGAGATAACATACTGTTAATGAGCAGTTTTTTTGATTTGGAGTCTCACTCTGTTGCCCAGGCCGGAGTGTAGTGACATGCTCACGGCCACCACAGCCTTGACCTGCTGGGCCTAGGTTATCCTTCCACCTCAGCCTTCCAAGTAGCTGGGACTACAGGCGTGCACCACCATACCCAGCTAATTTTTTGATTTGTTGTAGAGATGAGGTCTTGCCAAGTTGGCCAGGCTGGTCTTGAACCTGTGGACTCAGGCAATTCTCTCACCTCGGCCTCCCAAAGTGCTGGGATTATAGGCGTGAGCCACTGCATCTGGCAATGACCAGTTTTAAGAGGGGCCGTGGAATAGTGCCTGGCTTCAATGAGCCCCCGTTTCTCCTTTGTCAGGGAGATGCATTTCCTGAGCTGAAGAAGGACCCAGACATGGTGAAGGACATCATTAATGAAGAAGAAGTGCAGTTTCTCAAGACTCTTAGCAGAGGGCGTCGCATCTTAGACAGGAAAATTCAGAGCCTGGGAGACGGGAAGACCATTCCGGGTAAGGACCAGTTTGTGCCCTTGTGTTCCATCTTTTTGGGAAAGGCATGCCCTTTTTACATACTGACAGTGGGCTCCCGTGTCTCCAAAGCTGAGTATAGCTTGGTTAAACTGCTTTTGGTGTAAACTAGAATTTATAGTAAAATTGTAAAAGTAAAATACATTATTGTGGTTTTTCAAATAACACTGAATACAGCAATATTCAAAAAGTGAAAATCCTCTTTCCTTAACTCATTTCTCAGAGGTAACAACTCTTAAGAGTTTAGTGTATAACTACTTAGGATTGTTCCCTGTTTGCACTCAAATATACGTGTAGGTATTTGCGTGTGTTAAAGCAAAAATGGGAACAACATTTGTATATACTATTTTGCAACTTGTTTTATTTTTCACTAGATGGGATAATTAATTCTAAAAATGTTGTTTTCTTTTCATTGAAGTATAATGTACAAGAGGAAAGCTTGATGGATTTTCACAAACCGAACACGTTTATGTCAGATCAAGAAACAGAATTTTACCAGGAGGCCCTTGTACTTCCTCCAGATCAACTCAGAAAGATTTGCTGGATTTTCTGACAGTCACACGGGGCCAAAACTGACTTGCTTTGTCTCTTTAATGCCTTTTGTTAGTCCCAGTATCCTCCTCGGAGAGCTTGGCATGGAAAAGAGGGAGCCATCTCTGCTTTTTGTTTGTTTGGTTTTTTTGAGTTGAAGTCTCACTCTGTTGCCCAGGCTGGAGTGTAGCGGCATGCTCACGGCCACCACAGCCTTGACCTGCTAGACTCAGGTTATCCTTCCACCTCAGACTTCCAAGTAGCTGAAACCACAGGCATGTGCCACCATGCCCAGCTGAGTTTTTTTGATTTATTGTAGAGATGAAGTCTTGCCATATTGCTCAGGCTGGTCTCAGACCCCTGAGCTCAGGTAATCCTCCCACCTCTGCCTCACAAAGTGCTGGTATTACAGGCATGAGCCACCACACCTGGCTTTTCCTGTTTTAACACATCTCTTCTGTGTTGTGTAGGAGACACTGCATGGCTCTTGTATGACACCTATGGGTTTCCAGTGGATCTCACCGGGCTGATTGCTGAAGAGAAGGGCCTGGTGGTAGATATGGATGGTTTTGAAGAGGAGAGGAAACTGGCCCAGGTAAAGAATTTGTAGAGTGTGCAGGAAACCCAATACCCGCCAAACCAGGACTTGGCTACAAAGCAAACATGACTTTCTTTCCATTAGAGTCATTGAAATTCTTTTTTCCCTAAACCAGTGGTTCTCAACTAAGGGCAATTCTGCCTCCCAGGAGCCACTTAGCAATAATGCTTGAAGATGTTTGTGGTTTCCACAACTAGGGATGAGATGTTACTGTCATCTAGTTGGTAGAGGTCAGGGATGCTGCTTGGTATCCCATGTTGCAAGAAGACACCCCCCACGGCAAAGAATTATCTGGTCCCAAATGATAATAGTGCTGAGACTGAAAAGCCCTGTTGTAAAGCTTTATTCTGGGCATAATTCGGCAAGTTTGAGTTCTTCGGAGTTCTTTTGCCCCTACCTTATGCTTGTTTTTTTCATTGGCAGCTGAAATCCCAAGGCAAGGGAGCTGGTGGGGAAGACCTCATTATGCTGGACATTTATGCTATTGAAGAGCTCCGGGCAAAAGGTCTGGAAGTCACAGACGATTCCCCGAAGTACAATTACCATTTAGACGCCAGTGGTAACTACGGTATGTTACTGTGTTCCTTCCACTCTGAGCTTTCAGCCCCTTATTTGGGGGTTTTGAGAGCTCTGTGACAGCCTCCCCTGTAGTGCTATACAGTCATGCTGTGCACTTTTATACTCATGGGCACCCTAGGCTGGTGGGGTTTTTTAAACTCTTTATTTTGAAATAATTATAGGAAGTTGTAAAAAAAAAAAAAAAAGATTTGTAGAAGGTTCTGTGTCCCCTTCACCATTTCCTCTAATTGTAACATCTTGCAGGAAACCTGATAATTGACCTTGATACAATCTACAGGAGCTATTGAATTTTACCTTAGGATAATAGTATTCTGACATTGAGAAATATATAGGTATACAAATTTTTTATTTTTTATTTTTTGTCCTAGCAGAGAAGAACCTTATACATAAATCTATCTAAGCAAGCCCACAAAATAAATACACTGTTTGTGAACTGACCTTGGACTAGGGAATTTATTACTGATCTTAAAGATCTACTAATTAGAGTCACCAAGTCTCTGCTCAGCAGTCCAGAGTTCGGGTCCCAGTTTGCTCAGAACTGTCTCGGTTTTAACTCTGAAAGTCTGCATCCCAGGAAACCCCACAGTCCTAGAAATTGGGACAATTGGTCACCCTACTGCATGTTGCATTCTTTGGTGGAAAACCAGCATACTCATCCCTTTCATGGAGTCTAATGGGTTTGCTTCGAGAGTAATCAGACAATGGGGATCTAAGAAGAGTTTGAGAAACAGAATCGAGCAAAAAGCAGCTAAGAATGTATAAACAAACTCATTGACACTGCGGTCCCCCTTGTGTGCATTTCCACCGAGCAGTGTTTGAGAACACAGTGGCTACGGTGATGGCTCTGCGCAGGGAGAAGATGTTTGTGGAAGAAGTGTCCACGGGCCAGGAGTGTGGAGTAGTGCTGGACAAGACCTGCTTCTATGCCGAGCAAGGAGGACAGATCTATGATGAAGGATACCTGGTGAAGGTTGATGACAGCAGTGAGGATGTGAGCCAACAGTTCTTCCTTGCTAGCCAGGGAGGGCCAGGCTTGGAGCCCGGTTGCTGCTCTTGTTCTCAGTACTTCAGGTCCTGTGGAGCAGACCAACACACCTTTGGGTTGGGTTCCACTGTCAGTGTTTCTGAGCTGTTTGCTTGTTCCTGTTGCTTTTCAGGCCATTAGGTAGGAGTATCCTCACAGGAGTGTCTCTGTAGGCAGGGTGCAAGGTTTTGTTTTTTTTTTAAGTTGGAATCTCACTCACCCAGACTGGAGCGCAGTGGCCGCTCCCGGCCACCGCAGCCTCGACCTGCTGGGCTCCGGCCATCCTTTCCCCTCAGCCTTCCAAGTAAGTGGAACTACAGGCGCACGCTACCACGCCCAGCTCATTTTTATTTATTGTAGAGATGAGGTCTCGCCAAGTTGCCCAGGTGGGTCTCAAACCCGCAGGCTCAGGCAGTCCCCTCACCTCAGCCTCCCAAAAGTGTGAGATTACAGGCTGAGCCACCGAGCCCGGCTGGGTGTAAGGTTTGGACATACTCTTCTTATAAATAAGGAGAGGCAGCTGTCTGAAGGGCAGACATCCTTGTAAAAACAGCCTCTAGCTCTGCCACTGCTGAATTTGGTCTTGGTCCCTGGGCTTCAGGGTCCTTACAATGGCTTTCAAAAGAGTGTGTGGTGTGTGTATGTGCATATATATTTATTTGTCTGTAATGACATTGGTGTTCTACACACACACACACACACACACACACACACACACACACACACACCCCATTAAAGAATGTCTTAGAGGCTGGGTGCAGTAGCTCACACATAATCTCAGTACTTTAGGAGGCTGAGGTGAGAGGATTGCTTGAGTCCAGGAGTTCGAGACCAACCTAGGCAACATAGTGAGACCTCACCTCTACAAAATATGTATATATAAAATATAAAATGGAGCTGGGTTCGGTGGCTCAGCCTGTAATCCCTTGCCTTTGGGAGGCTGAGGTGAGTGGATTGCCTGAGCCCTCGGGTTCGAGACCCGCCTGGGCAGCGAGACCTCATCTCTACAATTAATCAAAAAATCAGCCGGGCGTGGTAGCACGCACCTATAATTCCAGCTACTCGGAAGGCTGAGGTGGGAGGATCGCCGGAGCCCAGCGGGTTGAGGCTGCGGCGGCTGGGAGCAGCCACTGCACTCCAGTCTGGGCGACAGAGTGAGATTCCAACTCAAAAAAATATATATATATATAAAATGTATGGCCTATGGTCATATATATGTATATATATATACATATATATATTTATATACATAGATATAAAATATAAAATGTATGGCCTGTGGTCCCAGCTACTCAGGAGGCTGAGGCAGAAGGATCACCTGAGCCCAGGAGGTCAATTGCACTATAGCCTGGGCAGCAGAATTAAGATCCCAGTCAAAAAAAAAAGTGTCTTAGAGAATATATATGTGTTTGTGTATTCAATTCACATATGTAAAGGGAGAACTTTTATATATATATGAATTTGTATGTGTAAATATAAGAGAGAAGCTGGGTACGATGGCTCATGCCTATAATCCTAGCACTTTGAACATCTGAGGTGAGGATTGCCTGAGCCTAGGGGTTCGAGACCAGCTTGAACAACTTGGCAAGACCTCGTCTCTACAATAAATCAAAAAATTGGCCAGACATGAAAACGCATGCCTGTAGTTCCAGTTAGTTGGAAGACTGAGACAGAAGGATCGCCTGAGCCCAGCAGGTTGAGGCTGTGTTGGCTGTGAGTGTGCCGCTGCACTCAAGCCTGGGGGAAAGAGTGAGACTCCAACTAAAAAAAAAAAAAAAAATACACATATGAGAAAAAATGGATAGGGTTTTTTTGTATTGTTTATTTGTTTGTTTGTTTGAGTTGGAGTCTCACTCTATCGCCCAGGCTGGAATGCAGTGAGATACTCATGGCCACCCCAGTGTCAACCTGCTGGGCTCTGGCAATCCTTCTGCCTCAGCCTTCCAAGTAGCTGGAACTATACGCACATGGTACCATGTCTAATTTTTAAAATTTTTATTGTAGAGACTAGGCCTCACCAAATTGCCCAGGCTCGTCTTGAACTCATGGGCTCAGGCAGTCCACTAATATCAGCTTCCCAAATTGCTGGAATTACAGGCTGAGCCACCAAGCCCAGCCAGGTTTTTAAAGATTTACGTATTTATTGGTCTCCTCCTTGACTCCTTAGAAAACTGAGTTTACGGTGAAGAACGCTCAGGTGCGAGGAGGGTACGTGCTACATATAGGAACCATCTATGGCAACCTGAAGATGGGAGACCAGGTTCGACTGTTTATTGATGAGGTGAGTCAGGCTGTCCTGGCCTCTGCTGGATCTGGTGAGGAATCACCTCCTTCTCTGGCTTTCAGTTGGCTTGTTATTGTTAGCACTCCTAAGTGAAATTAGAAGTAGAGTGCAGGAGTGCATTTTATGGACTGTGAGTGAGATAACAAAGAGTTCAGTCTGTGTGTTCCCAGGTCAATGACTTCACCAGTGATTTTAGTTGAGATCCTTCAGACTTGTTTTCATGGATAGCTTTTCTCTCTCAAATACTTCTTCACAAGCCAGGGATCCTGAGTTAATTAAGAACTAGGCTCTGTTGCATATAACAGAACTCTAAAATAAGAGTAGCTGATGCAGAGGCTCAGCCCAGAGACACCTAGGGCTCAGCTTCTCCTCACCTGTCGCTCCACTCTCATTGCTGGGGCGTTGCCCTTGATTTCAGGGTCCAAGATCCATTGTCTAGGCCAGAGGTTGGCAAACTTTTTTATAAAGGGGCAAATAGTAAAGATTTTTGGCTTTGTGGACTAGATGCTCTCGGTCGTGATTACTCAACTCCACCATTGCAGTGTACACGCAGCCATTGACAGTATGTAAGCAAGTGGGTGTGGCTATGTTCTAGTAATCCTATTTCTGAATATTTATAAAAACAGGCCAGGTGTTGTGGCTCATGCCTGTAATTCCAGCACTTTGGAAGGCTGAGGCAGGAAGACTGCTTGAGCTCAGTAGTTCCAGGCTGCAGTGAGCTATGATTGTACCATTCATGTCTACCTGGGTAACCAAGTAAAACCCTGTCTCAAACAAAACAAAAAACCAAAACAGGTGACAGGCCAGATTTGGTCTATAGGCCATCGTTTGCCAATTGCTGTTCTAGGTTGTGGAAGATGAAGGGGACATGTACTACTTCTCCTGACCTGTTGACCAGAGCGTAGTCACAAGGTCACACTTTGCTGTAGGGAAGCTGGGAAATGTTATCTTTATTCTGGGCAGCCATGTGTCCAACTAAAGATTCTAGTACTGGTGGTGAAGAGAACAGGTACTGGGGACAACCAGCAATCTGTTACAGACCTCTTCACCAGCCCCCTCTGTCCTTTGCAGCCCCGACGGAGACCCGTCATGAGCAACCACACAGCCACCCACATTCTGAACTTCGCCCTGCGCTCAGTGCTTGGGGAAGCTGACCAGAAAGGCTCACTGGTTGCTCCTGATCGCCTTCGGTTTGACTTCACTGCCAAGGGAGCCATGTCCACCCAACAGATCAAGAAGGCTGAGGAGATTGCTAACGAGATGATTGAAGCAGCCAAGGTAGGCTGGACTACATCTGAATTCATGGATCACAACCCTTAATCCTTCCCACAGTAGGAGGCTCCAGTCCAAATGCTGCCACACTGTTGGACCAGATTCTGTCCTGCACATCGATTTGTTCAAAGCAGTGATTCTCAGACTGTGTTTGTAGGGGGTTGTGGAGTTGTTGGGTAGAATGGGGAGGGAAGGTCTCTGCACACCCCCTCCTTAGGACGTCCAGAACTCTTCTACTTATTTCTACTTACATATAAGAGTTGTTTCACAGTTTAGCAAAATAGTTGGAGATTCCCATCCTCATGCCCTTGACTTTGTACAAGATGCATTGTGGCTCAGAGCCCGTGCCTGGCAGGTCTGGTTCAGAAACCCAGAGACCTGCCTGCAGGACTACATCCTCCTGGCTGCTTTTTACTGCATCTTCAGGGATCTTTTCCAGCTTTTTTTCTGGTTTCTTTCTATGGCAGCCCGTCTACACCCAGGATTGTCCCCTGGCAGCAGCGAAAGCCATCCAGGGCCTGCGGGCTGTGTTTGACGAAACCTACCCTGACCCTGTGCGAGTCGTCTCCATTGGCATCCCAGTGTCTGAGTTGTTGGAGGACCCCTCTGGTCCTGCTGGCTCCCTCACGTCTGTTGAATTCTGTGGGGGAACGTGAGTACCATGGAGGGGCAGTAGTACCTACCTTTTATTAACCTGGCATCACCCTTTGAGAATGTGGCTCTCATTTTTCTTTTCTTTTTTTTTGAGTCAGTCTCACTCTGTTGCCCAGGCTATAGTGCAGTGGCATGCTCACAGTCATCACGGCCTCGACCTGCTGGGCTCAGGTGATCCTTTCACCTCAGCCTTCTAAGTAGCTGGAACTACAGGCACACACCACTATGCCCGGCTAATTTTTTTATTTAATGTAGAGACAAGGTCTCGCCAAGTTGCCCAGGCTGGTCTCGAACCTGTGGACTCAGGCAATCCTCTTGCCTCTGCCTCCTAAAGTGCTGGGATTACAGGCATGAGCTACCATGCCTGGTTGACAGCTTTTATTTTTCTAAGGTTGAAGTCCTCAGAAATGCAGTTGCCAGCTGGACACTGTGGCTCATGTCTATAATCCTAGCACTGTGGGAGGATTGCTTGAGCCCAGGAGTCCAAGACCAACCTGGGCATCATAGTGAGACCTTCTCACTACAAAAAATAAAAAATTAGCTGGGCATGGTGGTGCACACCTATAGTCCCAGCTACTCAGGAGGCTGAGGTGGAAGGATTGCCTGAGTCCAGGAGGCTGAGGCTGCAGTGAACCATGATTGTGCCACTGTGCTCTGGCCTGGGTGACAGAGACCCCCAACTCAAAAAAAAAAAGAGAGAGAGAGAGAGAGAAAAGAAATGCAGTTGCCAAATAGCATTCCCAGCATTCCCAAGAATCTTAGCATCTGGCTGCTCCAATCAGACCCCTCAGTGTCTGACATTAACATTTCCTGTGTTTGTAATGAAATGTTGCCCCCTTCCATTCCTGGCACCTCATCTAATTTCCTTTGCCAATTGGGCAGCATCTGGGGAATTCAGCCCCATTGTCTCAGAGCCTGGCAAGCCACATGGTTGACCCAGCTCCATTTGGGAGAACTACTGGTTTCTGCCAACTTGGATAGCTCTTGGGGTCTTTTGGGGAAGGTCATGGTGGTCTGGAAAGTTCCTGCTTCCAGAGGAAGCTTGGTGAAAAGAACATCCTTAAGGCCATGATCGAGCCCATCCTCAGCCTCCTGCAGGCCCCAGGCAGACCATGAGCAGGTAGGGTGTGTGGAGGGTAGGGTCAAGGCCAGGGGATCAAGTTCCAGTCCCAGCTGAATGGCCTTCACATGAGTCTCACTTCTGCCTGAATACTTGTTTGCTAACACTCCTTAAACCACAGGAAACAGCTCTCAAAAACTGTATACTGCTCTTAAAGAATGACTGCAAAAGTTACTGAGCGTTTGAGGTTATCTGAGCTACTGAGAAATAAAACCTATTTGTTTAAGGGTTTTGGTAAATTTTTTTAAATAATCATCTAATAGTCTCACCTGATGAGCAGGGATATAAAAATACAGTTCACATTCCACCACAGGACCAAAATTGTCATGTAAAGCCTAACAGCCATAATAATGTATTGGGTATTAGGGATTACAGACTACTTTCATGTTTGCCTCATTTGATTTTCACAGCAGCCATATGAGGGAGAGTTGTCCACATTTATATATGAGAAAACTGAAGCTCAGAGAACTAGTGTCATGCTCAATGTCAGAATACTCTCAAGCCAGGTATGGTGGCTCATGCCTGTAATCCCAGCACTTTGGGAGGCCACGTCAGGAGGATTGCTTGAGCTCAGAAGTTTGAGACCAGCCTGGGCAATATAGTGAAACCTCATCTCTACCCCCTGATATATATGTATATTTATGTGTGTGTATAATTTTAGCCAGGCGTGGTGATGTGCGCCTGTAGTCAAGCTGAACCATATCACGCCACTGCACTCCAACCTGGGTGACAGAGTGAGACCTTGACTCAAAAAAAAAAAAAAAAAATCTAAGCCCAGGCTTTCTCTGAGTCTCTTCCCATTCCTGCTCTTCCCTTGTCCTTGTGTAGCCAGAACTATGTTCTAAAGTCCCCTTAAACATGAAGGGCTGTTACCCACTGTTACCTTGAGTGCTTCCTTGGAAGGGATGACCTCACAGGGCTTGTGCATCCCAGCCAAGGGAACCCAGGGTGCAGGGCAGAGACCAGGGTGCCTAGGCCCCCTCTACCACAAACTTTGTGTTCTGCCATTCAGGCACCTGCGGAACTCGAGTCACGCAGGAGCTTTTGTGATTGTGACTGAAGAAGCCATTGCCAAAGGTATCCGGAGGATTGTTGCTGTCACAGGTGCTGAAGCCCAGAAGGTGAGGGGACCTGGCTGGTATGTGGCCTATTTGAACAAGGCAAGAGGGGCACAGTCTGCCCATCCATAGAACAAACAGTACCCTTTGTGGCTGCTGCAGTCAGAAGAAAGTACAGACTGTGTGACACCAGATTGTAATCCAGTTACCACTGACTGGCAGAAGAAAGCTACCACCATGCAAGATTTCTCAGCTTTTGTGTTTTAGCTTTTAAAATATATGTCAATTCAGCCTTTGACCCCCTAATATGTCTGTGTAGAGAAAAGTAGCCACAGTTCTGCCGTGGCTTCTGGGATCCCTACCACTTGTCCACATATCCCTGAGGGTGTGCCTAGTCTGTATAGCAGATGACAGGTGGTCTGGGGCTTTGCTGACTTTTGGTGGAGCCTGAGGGGTAGCCATTTCATGGGGTGAAAAGAACTTCTTGATGGGTGAGTTCTCAGTCACCCCCTGAACCTGACTTATGGTGCAGCCTTCGCTGGCCAGGTGTGAGGAAGGTACGCCTTTCTAGGGCATGAGGCTGCTAGCACTTGCTCCCTGCAGGAAAGAAACTTCTATCTTGGATGTGGCGTAAGCTGCCATCAGGGTTTCCAAATCTGTTTACACAAAATAGTGAGGCTGAAAGTTCCCTGCACCAGAGCCTATAACTCTGATTGTCACCTCCCAGGCCCTCAGGAAAGCAGAGAGCTTGAAGAAATTGCTCTCTGTCATGGCAACCAAAGTGAAGGCTCAGAGTGTGCCAAACAAGGATGTGCAGAGGGAGATCGCGGACCTTGGTGAGGTAGGCTGGTCTCCTCCCTCCTTGGGCCTGCTGAGCCTTGGACCTGATGAATAAGACACTTCCTATTTTTGAGGAAATCTCACTCAAGCCAGTCAGGTCCTGGTGCTTAGTGGAAGGGCCTTTCGGCTAACTGCTGTCCTGCAGCCTTGCACAGGGGACCACAGGTGTCCTGTCCTGTGAATCCCTGGATGCTGTCTGCTGCTCCCATCGCTACTGGTGGGAGAGCTCGGCCCAGGCATGAGTAGGCGCTGGGGCTGAGGGAGGCGGGGAAGGTGCTGTGGCTGCCCGCTGTTTCCAGGTTGTTCTTACTTGGGGTTGCCCGGAAACCCATCAGGCTGTGTTCACAGCCAGGTAAGGGCCAGGCCCTGCACAAGAGCCTGGCTTTTTCTTTCTGTCTACCCTGCTTCTCACAACTGCGGCAGCTGCTCCTAAAGTGGTGGGTCCCAAGGCTGGTGGATTCCTCGTGTTAGTTTTCTCTCCTTTCCCAACACTGGTCAGGGAGGACTTTGGTTCAAAGCCGGCAGGGTGGGATTGGCTGGACCCTCACATCCTAGCTCCAGATGGTCTTTGGTTCTGGTTCCAGGCCCTGGCCACCGCAGTCATCCCCCAGTGGCAGAAGGACGAATTGCGGGAGACCCTCAAGTCCCTAAAGAAGATCATGGATGACCTCGACCGGGCAAGCAAAGCCGATGTGCAGAAGCGAGTGAGTTCCAGCAGTGCTGGCGGCTGGAAGGAGGCCAGGAGGGTTTCCTGGGCAGAGGTGGTCAGGATGCTGTCTCAGTCTCAGGGACTGGACTTGGGGCCTGAGCCTCTCTCTGGGATTGTTTCTCTTGCAGGTGTTGGAGCGGACAAAGCAGCTCATCGACAACAACCCCAACCAGCCCCTCGTCATCCTGGAGATGGAGAGCGGTGCCTCGGCCAAGGCAACCCAGGGCTGGGGTCCCTTTCTCTCTGGGTCTCTTCAGCTCTCTGGTGGTCTGAGCTGCCTGGTCGCCTACGGGCCCAACTGTCTGGGGTGGGGTTAGGCTGAGCCATGGAGATACCTGGTGATTGGAGAGCTCCTGGCAGGGGGAGCAGCTACTGGAGGTGGGGGGAGGAGAAGCTCCTGGAGGGAGAAGGAACAGCTCCTGGAGGAAGGAGGCGAACCTCAGAGCCAGGGTAGGGGCCAGGCCATGTGCTGGGTCCTCCACACAGGCTCCCAGGGACAGCATCTGATGTCGGAGGGGGTGAGGGTGGCGCAGTGAGGACTGACCACTGCAGACTCTGCACGTATGGAGAGTGGGGCCCCCTTGCTAGGACCACGGCCTGACACCAGGTGCTCTCCACAGGCCCTGAATGAAGCCTTGAAGCTTTTCAAGACACATTCCCCCCAGACGTCTGCCATGCTCTTCACAGTCGACAACGAGGCTGGCAAGATCACATGCTTGTGTCAAGTCCCCCAGGTCAGAACTGCCTGCAGCCTTGTGCTCCAAGCCACACAAATCCCTGCACCAGCGGGAAGTGTCAGATCTGATGATTGTTGGCTGAGACCCATGTGTGTGCACCTGCAACCTGCATTTGAAACAGCCATTCTCTTGGCTGGGTGCAGTGACTCACACTTGTATTCCCAGCATTTTGGGAGGCTGAGACAGGAAGATTGCTTGTGCCCAGGATCCCAAGACCAGCCTGGGCAACATAGCGAGACCTCATCTCTATAAAAAATAATTTAGCCGGGCTCGGTGGCTCAGCCTGTAATCCCGCGCCTTGGGAGGCTGAGGTGAGGGATTGCCTGAGCCCGCGTGTTCGAGACCCGCCTGGGCAACTTGGCGAGACCTCATCTCTACAATAAATCAAAAATCAGCCGGGCGTGGTAGCATGCGCTGTAGTTCCAGCTACTTGGAAGGCTAAGGCAGAAGGATCGCCAGAGCCTAGCAGGTCGAGGCTGCAGTGGCCAGAAGTGGCCACTACACTCCAGTCTGGGCGACAGAGTGAGACTCCAACTCAAAAAAATAATTAAATAAATAATAATAATAATTTAAAAAAAGAAACAGCCATTCCCCTGCCCATCTGTTTGTCACCTTCACCAGTACCCCTCATTCTCAGGCCGCCTTACTGGTGATGTTTGACTGTCCAGCTGACACTGGCTCTGCCAGTCCGTCTTTCCTTGTACTGGCTGTGGCCGTGACTGCTCCCTTGTACCACCTGTAGAGTCTGCCTCCACCTCCAACAGCATCACCAGGGCAGGAGTGGGTGTCTGTGGCTCCTCCATCCTTTTTCTTTCCCTCCATTCCTCCCTCAACCTCATCCTCTGTCTTGACTTCCACTTCCCCTTCCTGTCTTCCAGAATGCGGCCAATCGGGGACTAAAAGCCAGCGAGTGGGTGCAGCAGGTGTCAGGCCTGATGGATGGCAAAGGTGGTGGCAAGGATGTGTCTGCCCAGGCCACTGGCAAGAACGTGGGCTGCCTGCAGGAGGCGCTGCAGCTGGCCACTTCCTTTGCCCAGCTCCGACTGGGGGATGTGAAGAACTGAGGGGAGGGGTGGTGGTGCTGGGGAGTCTCTCTCCCCCAACCCAGCACATCAGGCCAGCCAGGAGCTCTCCATCCGCCACAAGGACATTTGAATTTGGGGACCTTTAAACAGCCCCATCCGTCCTTCTAGCCCAGTAGTAACTGGAACGTACCTGGGAGCCGTCCTGTGACTCAATGCCCTACATTTCTGCCCTACGCGTCAGTACCGTCTGTGTAGAACCATGACCCCAGGATTGCACCTTCTCATCGTCACACTCGCATCTGTAGACACAACCCTCGAGACCCAGGCTTTGTGTTCTGCACGTAGGAGACATTTTTGCTGCAGAGAATAAAAGGACCATGTGCAATACTTGATGATGCTGTGTGATCTCTACCCTCCCCCCTCCCATTCTTTTATTCAACAAGTGCTCACGCTGTCCATCCAGGGATCCCCAGTTTGACAGCTCTTGGCTCCCTGGGTGTTTATTTTGTTTTTGTTTTTTTTTGAGTTGGAGTCTCACTCTGTCGCCCAGACTGGAGTGCAGTGGCCGCTCCCGGCCACCGCAGCCTCGACCTGCTGGGCTCCGGCAATCCTTTTGCCTCAGCCTTCTGAGTAGCCGGAATTACAGGCGCGTGCTACCACGCCTGGCTGATTTTTTGATTTATTGTAGAGATGAGGTCTTGCCTGCCCAGGCGGGTCTCGAACCCGCGGGCTCAGGCAATCCACTCACCTCAGCCTCCCAAAGGCGCGGGATTACAGGCTGAGCCACTGAGCCCGGCTCGCTGGATGTTTAAAACAAATGCTGTGGCTCCAGCTGGTTCCTGTAGTTCTCACGAGTGTAGCCCCAGAACCCCAATGGCCCCTAGGGATGCCTCAAGACGTCCGTGGAGGTGGAGGTGGAATCAGTGGATGAGACGGAAAGGGGCACTGAGAATTCAGTAGATGGCCTGAGGTTTCACTGGAAGCACAGAAGATCCTCTCAGAGCCTGTCTTAGGAGACCACCTCCTTGTTTTGGGCTTGTGTCCCTCCTCTCCCTGCCTTTGAAACTGTGAATGTGAGGTCAGAGGCCTTCTCTGACGTATTTAGATTCTTAGGGTATCACAGTTGCCTACTCCACTCAAATGATTACTCTATCATTCCTGCTTCCTAGGCCCAAAGATGGCGAGTGAGGATGGAGAACCTGCCCAGGCCCTGAGTCCAGTTCACCAAGTCTAATATCGGGTTTGGAAACAGCAGTGTGCAGGGAGGTTACAGGTACTGCTTGCCCACACAGACTCAGGCTGATTTTACGGTCTCCAGTTACAGCAGCTGGTCCTGAGGCCCAGGATCACCCTCTGCCCTGCTGACAGAGTGAGGGCAGGAGAAGCATGTCCGCTGGAGGTGGGGGGCTGTCCTCTTGTGGTGTGAGGGAAGTAGGTGGAGGGAGGAGGCTGTGGCCCTGGTTCAAGGTGCACATGCTAGGTGAGGAGTGTTAGGGATACAGAGGATTACACAGTCCAGTATGGGAGAGACATAATTCCACTCATTGATTTATCCATCCATTCATTCAATGAGTGTTCATGAAAGGGACTTTTCTACTTCAGTGTATGGGTACAGGCCCTGAACCGGAAGCCTGAGCAGCAACGGACACCATGCTGAGCACTTCGCTGTCACCACCCCCAAAGGACCTGCACCAACGGCCTCCACCCCACATTGAGCTAAGAAGCCAGAGCACCTGAGAGGATCCAGGGTGGCACACACAGAGCGGATGCGGTGGACAGCTGGGTTGGAACGGCTCTTTACAAACTTCCATGCAAGGGACTTTTCTAGTCGAGTGTATGGGTACAGGAGTGAACATGACAAAGTCCTTGTCTCTTGGGCAAGGCAAGGCAGTGGGGACCACATAAAATAGTCACAGCTGGGCACAGTGCCTCACGCCAAAGTCTGTCCCAGCACTTTGGGAGGCTGAGGAGGGAGGATCTTTTAAGGCCAGGAGTTCAAGACCAGCTTGGGCAACAAGCGAGACCCAGCCTACAAAAATAAAAATTAAAAATAAAAGCACTGTAGTTCCAGTTACTTGGAAGGCTGAGGCCGAAGGATCACCTAAGCCCAGAGGGTCAAGGCTGCGGTGGCCGTGAGCATGCTGCTGCACTCTAGTCTGGGCGACAAGAATGAGACTCCAACATACATACATACATACATACATAAAAGCAGTCAGGTGTGCTTGTGTGTGCCTGTAGTCCCTTCTACTCCGTAGGCTGAGGAGGGAGAATCACTTAAGCCCAGTTGTTTGAGGCTGCAGTAAGCCGTGATCGTGCCACTGCACTCCAGCCTGCGGGACAGTATAAATAAAATAGTTGCACAAACAATTGCAAGATTAGAATAATTACAGTCTTCACAAACGAAAGGAAGAAGACGTACGCCCTGAGATGGCCCTGGCCTGGCAGGCTAGAGGTCAAGCGGTACCAGGGCGGCCTGGCTGACCTCTGGTCGTCCTGGCCCCACTTCAGGGCTGCCTGGCTCGGCGGT